AGCTTCAGAGGGAGAGAAGGAAGGGAAAAAGAAATAAAGGAAGAAAGGAAGGGAGAGAGAAAGGACGGAAAGAGGAAGGAAGGAAGGAGAAAAAGAAACCACAGTTGCTATATCTACTACCTAGGAAATACATTACAATACAATTTTTAAGACAAATTTATTACCTTTGCCCTCATCTCCACTCCACTGATATACAAACATCTTGTTAATTTAATAAAATAAATAAGCAACTATCTAATGAATAGTTTTTTGTCTTAAATTTCAGCAGAATGTCAATGATACTAGGAAAAAATAAAATCTATTAAAACCCCTAATATAATCCCTGGCACACAAAGCACTCAAGAAATATTTGTTGAATAAACAGTAACTACCAGAGACATTTGCTAAACTGTCTTTTGGGGTCTTAATGCCATTAAATGGATCAAAACATGTTAATATGGGTTTTTTTAAAGGGTAATTGAGATCATTTTTTTTAACTCAAATTTGAAAAGTTGAAACCATAGGAATTAGGACCCAAATGGTTTCAATACCAAAGTAACCAGAAAAGGAAATAAAACCCATATTTTCAAATAAATATAGCACAAATATCCTAATTATTCTCCTGCAGTCACTTGGTCATGCAGGATCCCCAAAATGTATTATTATAAAAAGACACATCATTCACTGCAGCATTATAATTATAGTAGCAAAAGTCTGAAAACAACTTAAACATCCATTGATAGAGAATTGGATTTAAACAAATTCTAGTACATTTATGCAATGGAATACCATGTAGTTACTTAAAAGAATAAAGTAGATCTCTATATGCTGATGTGGAAGAACCAAGATGTTCTGTTAACTTTCAAAAACCACAGAGCTGAATGAAGAGCAACGGAGCCCACCTCACATGAGGTTCTCAAGTCAGTGCAAAGGCTGACATTGCACACAGTGCAAGTGTCCTTCGAACATCCCTCAGGGCAATGCCGTTTGAAGGCTCACAAACCTTCTCCAGGTAACTGTTGCACAAAGCTGGTGTTTTCTTTGGCATTGAAAGGCATTGCAAGTCCTTCACTTGTACATCAGATGAAGCTGGCTTCCACAGGCACCACGTTTGTGATACATATACTCTTTAAAAGCTAGCTTCCATTCAGCCTTAAAAAAGAAGGAAATCCTGCCATTTGCTACAA